ACTCAAGCAGCGGGACTTTAAACACCGAAGGCAGGCAGCCGTGATGAACTAGAGCTCCCGCCGTCGGGAGGCTGGGAGAAAACAGCCCCGCACCGTCGGAGCAGGTTCACTGTCCTCTCTCCCTGCCCGGAGCATCACTCTGCACCGCACGGCACAGGGAGGGAGCGGAGAAACCCCAGACTATGGGCTATCCCGACTGAGGAATTACGGGCTAAAAAGACTTGCTCCATTGACTGAATCTGAAACCAGCCTGGCCAGGCGTCCTCTGAGCACCTTCACCCTAGGGGGATTAGGATTACTGGAGGGGGCAAAAATGCCTTTCACAGGGTGGATAGCAGGGCTTCTCTTCCTTTGTGAAGGTAAGTTGCTTTCAACTAATCCCCCCAAGAAATTTGTGGGTCATCAAGGCTGCTGGTGGCTGATTAGGATAAAAAAAATCAAACCTCCCCCCCCCAAATGTAAACGAGATCGAAATAATCCTGATACCTTTGCTCCACGTTTTTAGGCGCTGAAACTAAGTTATAGCGGATGTGTGTTTCCTTGTTGGTCTACGTTTAGGATGTGAAAGAGATGAATGTGAAAACGGGTTTTTATTTTCAGGTTCTGAAAGATTATTCAGTCAGTCCCCCTCCCCCCCACCTTTTTACATCATCAAATTAAATTGGGTTTGGGCTGATGAATGAAAAGGCTTGAAAGATGAAAAGTTATTGGTTCCTAGCGTCACTGATGCTTTCACAGCTGTTAAGTTTCTAAGGCAAACAGAAAATCCATTCTCTCTCTCTTTCCTTTCCATATGGTCCTGTTTGCCAAAGTGTTTCTGTTGTTTACTTGAATAAATCAACGTTGTTGTTTTGTGAAGAACTCCTTCAGTGCTCTCAGGAGGGAATGGCACAATAGAAGTCACTCGCCAAAAACACCCCCCCCCTTTTTAAAAAAAAGATCACTGGTTGATGTACAGGCTAATAAAAGTGAGGGGTTATGTTTTGATGGTTGTGATTTCCATCACATGTATCACTTGTTCCTTCTTATTATTTCTAGGAGGCTAAATTTAATATTTATGATAACAATTTAGGATGCCAAGGATGAATTGATCAGAGAGACTTTAAAGGATGCATCTTTTACCCTGTTTGCTACCCTTTTGATCTTCCTACATTACTGTAAATATCTACATGTCTTCAGATTTTTCTTGTAGTTTTGCTAGTACCTAAAAACTTAGATCTCTGAGAAAGAAAATGGGTGGAATGTGTTCATTGAGAGTCCCAAAACTCATGTAGTTTTGTCTAAAATAAATGGAAAGCAATAGTTTGCATGGTACAGATCATTTTACTGTGGAAAAAAAAAGAAACAATTGTATTTTAAATTTTTGAATCTTTTTTCTTCTAACTTTTTAACTAATTAATTTTCCGTATAGTTGTGATCAAGTTAGTAATATTCCAGCTTGTCATCTTTGTCTTGATATTTCTCATGGATACGCTTTTGGTAATAGATTGTATTGTTCTGGTATTCCTATTTTTTTATTTATCCCTTTCCAAGTTGAATGAATAAACTCACTGTCATTAACACGGTGTTGGACCAAACTATCATGATATATAGCATATGCGTGTGAAGTTTTGTACTCAATTTTTTTTGTCCAGTAAGATTGTTACTCAATTTAATTTCTATGTCTATAACTTCATGTATCTTTCTTTTGCCTTGATTTTTCCTCTTTTTCTACATATGTGTGTCAAATTACCTTTAAAAAAAATTTTCCTCTTTTTCTACATATGTGTGTCAAATTACCATTTAAAAAAAAAAGTAAATCCATAAATAACTAATTTTTGGATTCATCTAATGCATGGAAGTAAGTGATCAGATCTTTTTATGTTGGCCTATTTGAACAAAAGAGATGGCTAGTTGCCACCTGTATGTTAAGATTTCTCAGAGGCAGGGATTGGTTTTGCCCTCCTTTTTGACATGTTCTTTGCTCTTTCATAAATCCCACAAATAGGTTTGGATGACTGATGTATTTTGAAGGATCTTGTTCAGAAAAACTGTCAAGGCAATTTAGGGTAATTATATTCATTGTGACTTCAAGAAGTCTAGCATATTAGCAGTGTGAGATGGGTGTCTATGGCTCGAGAGATGCAGTTTCACATCGTATAGCAGTATGATACCAACTTCTATTTATGTCACTTTAGCTGAGTTCATAGTGGTAAACAGTTATGTCTTAGATGTATAAACCAATATCCCATAAGCAATGCAGGGAGCCTCTTCTCAATTAGAAGCACAAATGCCCCCATGATGCTGTGTAATCATTTGCTAGGGTACAAGGGCAGGAAGCTAATTCATTTGATTCTGTGGCAAAAGAGAAGCACAGTCTTCTACAGTAAGATGTTATATTTTTACTATGGGTTGTGAAGAAACCCCAGCTCTGTATAAAAACTTCTGAGATGCATAATCCCCCACTCATGAAAGAAACAAGCTTACACTCGGATCGTGTATGTTTCTTTTCTCCATAGCTGTGAGTGTTGGAAAGTTTAAATTTATAGCTGTTTGGTGAACAGCCGTGCTTACTGGAATTGTTGACCCAAAGATTTCCCTAACTTGACTAAGAATGCTTTTGCCAATTGACTTGGGTTAACTCATCTGGTGAATATCCTGTTAGCAGAAAAGATGAGGACTGATTCTCTGGTGTTGCTAGGTTTGGAAGAGCATGGGAGATCCCTAGTCTGAAGCCGCTCTGAAGCAGAAAATCTAGAAGAGCTGCTGTTAATTGCATTGTGGTAAAGAATTGGCTATGTGTGAATCTCTTGCAGGCATTGATATTGACATTTAATGGCCTAGAATTAAATAGTATCGGGACGATATTTCTCCACCCATTTGGATTTGTTTTTCTTCAATGTCAGATGAAAAATGCCTATTTCTGTGCCTTATATATATATGTTGTCTGTTGTAGAATGTTCATATGAATGCTACGGGATCAAGTTACTCTGGGCTGTTTTGATTGGTTTCTAACCGTTCCTCTTGAAGTGATGAATTGGGAAAACCCGACCTTGGATAGGAAACTGTTAATAACATAATTATCCACTCCAGGTTCTCTGTTGTCTGGAATGTCGTTTTTAGTTCTAGAAGAAAATGGACATATTGATACTTATTGCCAATAGACAAATTAAATTGTGCTAGCATTATGTCATAAACATGCCTCATAACGATAGAAGGAAAAATGTTGTAACATGGGAATACTACCAGTGGAAACAATGCAAGTTCTCTTGCATACATGCCATTTAAAATATAATTTTGTTTTTTAGATGAGGATGATTTGAAACTACAGATGGCTTTGGTATTCAGCTAAGGGCTGAACTCTACTTAATCGATTCTTACCATGCAGTTTTATGCTCTTAGATTTATTGCTAATGCTTTATTTTGACTGGCTGCCCTTTACAGTAGATTCTGCTCTGCACATATTTACAGGGTGAGGACAGACCTTCATTAAACCAACAGCTCAAAGAAGTGACATTTTTTCAACAAGTTCAGATAATTTGGGTTATATTATTTGTATTTCTTGGTGGGGAAAAATGGGTTTTCCCTATAGAAGAAAATCTGTAAGTTCCTTCTAAAAGGACGCTGTGTGCATTAACATCTTCAGTCAGGGAAGTACTAATGAGCTCAAACTACAGAGCAGGTTATTGAGTGGGTCAAGAACCTTGACACATATTTGGCTGCATATTTCTCTCTCTCTCTCTCCCCTTTTTTTTGGCAGGCAGATGTTCAGGCAATATGTGATTTCCATTCTAATTTGTTTAATTATAATCCTGGCCATAGGGCAGGAGAAAATGAACTTGGCCCCCCAAAAGGAATAAATTCAAACTATCTTATTCATTCTTGTTTGAAAGGGAGAGGAGGATGAAAAGGGAAGTTCAGAATGTCCTTGCTTCTAATTGCTAGGAATAATAATAGTCATGGGTCATGCTGGCTGCCTCTTCACTTTTTTCCTTACTCTCTTTCATGCCTTCTTCTCAAGCCAGGTGATTATTGTCCTTCAGGGCTCCAGTTTTATTTCCAATGGTGCCCTATAGCCCTGCCCTCTGCATGTATGGATCTCTTTGCCTTCATGGAGCCCTACTGATGGTAGACATCTGTTGTGCACAGACCTGCTTGCACCCCATAATCGGTTCAGATTGCTCTCCCTTCTTCTCTAGGTTCCTGTCCCAAATGGACACGTGTCCACTTTTGCTCCCAGTGCTACTCAGTGTGATACTCTTCAGGGAAAAGACAGTATCCTCCCATCTGTCTGACAAGCATGGTCAATTAGTCTGTTTGAAGCCCCCTTGACAGTGCAATGGCATTGCTATCATTGATGGGTTTTGTCGTGACTGCAAAGTTCCCATGAAGGAAATCAATATGAAGATTTTAAAAAGCCAACGTCTTTATGTTTAAACACTGTATTCAATGGATTTTGAACAATAGAAAGGCTGCTTAACATGAGCAGTCAGTTCATATGACAATGCTGATCTTGTACCTGAATGCTACATTAATGTATGGCGTCAGCATCTGATTTCTATCTGTTGGAATCTTACAATGGAAAATAAGTTTCCTTTTTTTTTTTACCCAGAAGTGAATGTACTTTTCATTAAAGGTGGTAGTCTGGAGAGCTCTCCCTCAAAGAATAGGTACATCTCTGGTAGCAACAGTGTAAATGTACCTGTAACGCTGGCAGGCAGAATTGAACCTGGGATCATGAGTTAAAAGTCAGCTGGCAGTCATCAGACTTTGTAAATGGTCTTGGTGCCACTAGGTCAGACAGTGAACCACACCTAGTAGGTGTGTGGGTTACATACTTCCCCTAGCTGAGGAAGCACATCCCAAGCTTTAAAGACTTCTCAGTTGGAATCCTGGATGAGTCCCTATTTGGGACACCTGCAGGCAGAATCAAACCCATGACCTCTGGAGTTTAAAGCATAAAGCTCTACTGCAGAAACTGAAAGCCAGCCAGCTGCTAGCTAAGGATGTAAGGCAGACTTATTCTCTCTGCAAGTGGTCCCGGTACCACTAGGTGGGACCGAACACTACACCCAGAAGGTGTGTGTTTACATACTCCTCATCTTACTCTTTTTTTCTGAAGGGACCCCTGTTAAGGTTAGTTTTGTGTGCTCTAAATCCATGGCACCTCTGCTCAGATTGGCAGCAGGGCAGATTGCATTTATGACTGCAGGCTGCGAAAAAGCCTGAGATTGGCCCACAAAAGTCAACAAACCGCTGGTGGGTGGTACATTCCTTGAGTGCTTGATTTTTTTTACTAATGTTCATTGAACTTTTTGTATGTAATAGATACAATGGTAGTATGTCATAAATAATCAGAAAGTAAGACTTTATACACTCT